TATATAATAGATGCTGAACTTTTTTTGATCTTTTCAAGTGTTTGCTTTTTTATATTTCAATTTTCTTTAGTGAAAATTATGATTTTGCTATTGAGGATATTCGTCTAGTGAGTAGTTCGATTTGGTCGTTGTGTTTTTTCATTATATGAACTTGCAAATTATATCATCAGACTAAATAAGTAAATTTGGTTAGGTTTCAATAGTTCAATTTTGGATTAATCGGATTAATTATGTCAAATCAGTTTATAAGTTAGGTTTCTTCTTCTTATTGAACAAATTGGGCAAAAAACTTAAGTATACAAAATAACTATCTTAATAACCATTATATAATAATAGTTTGTTTTTTCACCAACATAGCAATTTTTTTTTTTCAAAAATAGGAATTAATATAACAAAAATGTAGCGTAGTAATAATCAACCACGATTTTCTACCATTTCCTAATTTTCTCCAATTCTTTTACCTTTCACAATTTACTCAGATTGATTATATATTCTCTCCCATCATAAAATGTTTTTTTAACCAAAATAAAACTCTCTTTCTCCTCATTCTGATCGATTGTTCAGTTATGGATAACAACAAATTTTCAATTCTAATTCAACACAACAGACGATGAGACGTATCAGGTATTTGTGATAAATCACGATTAAATTTGTGTTTTTTGATGTGATTATTTTAATTATTTTATTTAATATACTTGGTGTTTTTTTCATGATCTTTATCTTGTAATCTATTAGGTTGGTATATGTTTTTGTGTTACAGACGGAATTAGGTGTTTAGTTGTTGAATTTTACTTCGAAAACTCACCATATTAGGATTGAATATGATGGTGTATTTGAGCTCGTTTAAAAAATTACTTTTATGGATTTAATTTTGATAGATTGAGTGGTATAATTGATAGTGTATATTACGTTGTTACTAAACACCAAATCTGGGATTAATTTTTGGTATTTGTTTTGGTTTAATTTGTAGGGTTTTTTGGTTGATTATAAAAACCAATTTTTGTGATTCTATTTTGATAAATGATTTGGTTAAAAAGATGATCTATTTTAATTCGTGTATAAACGTCAAATTCCATGAATATTTTTTGATAGAATATTAGGTATAATTGATAGTGTACTTGGTGTAGATCATGTGCTGTAATTGATATTGTATATTATGTTTTTAATAAACACCAAAGTTCGTTAATTTTTTTTGGTGTAATTATTATATTTTGGATCGTATGTAAACACCAACTTTCGTGATAATTTTTGGGTACATCTATTGGTGTAGTTGATAGTGTGTTTTGGGTTTTTCATATACAACAAAATTGATGATTTTATTTTGGTAAATAATTTGGTGAAAATGATGGTTTATTTTAATTCGTGTATAAACGTAAAATTCCATGAATATTTTTTGGTAGAATATTATGTGTAATTGATAGTGTACTTGGTGTAGATGATTTAGTGTAATAGATAGTGTATATTATGTTTTTTTAATACAAACCATAACTGAGAACTTTTTTTGGTGTAATTGTTATATTTTAGGTCATATATAAACACCAACTTTTGTAATAATTTTTGAGTACATCTATTGGTGCAGTTGATAGTGTGTTTTGGGTTGTTTATAGACAACAAAATTGAAAAATATTAAATTGGTTATAATACTTATTATTTTGTGTTGGTATATTTCATACCCAGAAAAAAAATTGAAAAATTAATTTAGGCGTAAATCATTTTGTATACCAGCATAATTACCATTTTTATATAGATAAAAGCATTCTATATACCAATTTGTGTTATTTGATTACAATGGAAACACCATTCTGATTATGTATGTATAGCTTAATTATTTTTTTTATGTATTTTAATTTGTATTATGTTATATATGTAATACTTATTTAATAATTTCACTAATTATTTTGGAGATTGATTAATAAGTTGTAATCTAACAAAGGTAAGTACGTGGATTACAATATTGAAGGAGTGATATATTGTCACGATCCGAGCCTACACCCTGGACGTGGCCGTCACTCGAAAACCATTGCTTGTCCCCAAGTGAACCCTCATCCTGGCTGACTACAAGCGGAAGACTAACTCAAGCATGCAAAAGCTTAAAAATTGAACAAAATTCATGAAACTTACAAATCTTTAACTTGAATGAGCAACTCTGAATGAAAAATAGAATATTCAACTAGCCAACAATAGGCAACTCAAGTCTTTAATACATTTAATAAGATAAATGAAACAGACTTCTCAAACTCTACTTTCTATCTATGAAGCCTCTAAATGACAAAGATGGAAGTCGGGACAAAACCCACGACATCCTGACAAAAGTGAAAAGTAAATGGAATCCTCTGGAAGCAAGGAGGCTCACCATAGCTAACTCGAACTACATGTGGTATCAACGAAGCTCCTGTTGATGATCCCAATTACTTGAATCTGTATCATGAAAGGATGCATGCCAAATGACTCAGTACGTGGAATGTACGAGCATGTAAGGGGAATTCTAAAACACAAAATAAGCTTGAACTTGATAAAAAGGAAACATACTTACCTATTTTCAAACTTACTCAACTCAAGGAATACTCAAAACTATTCAGACTTACTCAACTCAGAAGTACTCAAGGATAAGATACTCAACTCAGTAATAAGGTTCTCAACTCAGTGAAACTCAACAATAAGGTACCCGATACAATGAAGCACAAATCAACTCAAGATACTCAACTCGAAAGACTCAACTTATGATACTCAAGGATAAAGCAATAGTAAAAGATGCAATATATATATGGAAAGCTTTAAAATTGTAGATAGCAACTCAATGTATTGAAAAAATACAATAATACTCAATGTGTATATAAAAATACAATATAACTCTGTGGGAGTTTCTCTAATCCGACAACCACCACTATGAGCCTAAAGTGTTATACAACGTCTCGCCCACGCTGCCAGAACTGTCCTATACTTTGCCGTCATATAGAACGCCTTAACTAAGTGGATCCACTAGTCTATGCTAAAAAACTAAGGAGTCATCTAAAAGTATGATCCTTTCTACCCATGATGGCTACATGGTTTATGGAGACGTGAGTTATCTGAACTCAAACTCGTCCCCATATCGGTACTCAAAACTACTCCCAAAATACTCAGTTCATATGTTTTTAAAAACATAAGTTTTCTTTGATTTGAAATAATTACTTAAAAATCTTTCTCTTAAAAGAGATGGTACTCAAATTGCTCAAAACTCTTTTGGAAATCTCAGTTTCCTCTCATCTTAAATGTGAAAACATTTACTCTTGGGAATACTTAGTTCCCATATATCATTTTAAAGAAAATGAACTTTACTCTTACTCTTTACTCAACTCAAATCTTAAGTCTTAAAACAAAGTTAAAACGATTGTAAAAGACTTCGTAAAATATGGTTCATGCCGAATTATTAACATGAACGACTCAATGCAATGTTTTCAATAACCATAGATTTAACTCAATACTTGGAACTCAAGAACTTCAATGATACTACTCATTTTAAGAATGCTCAACTCAGAGGGTTGATGCAGAATTATGAGAATGAACTACTCAACTCAAGGACTCAAAGATATTTTTCATCTCAAGATTGTTCGACTTATAGGGTTCATGCGGAATTATGGG